CAGTTCAGTTATATTTCTGGCAAATTACTTTCGGTATCCATGGACATATTTCAACCTTTTTTAATATACGATTGTCCTTGTTTAATATTCTGTAAGATACAGTTGACCAATATAATGTTTACTCGGAAAAGCACTGATTTTGGAAAAACCTGTAAAAGATATTTTCTTTTTAAATTTGACCGTAGAGAGATTCTTGTCGAGTATTATACATTGCGAAATTTCATTGCAACGCATAGAAAGTTAAACAGAAGATATTGTTAATAACTAGCATATAATCACATCGAAATTGAAGACATAGAGCATCGTGTCAGGAACTTGATTCCTTGTTAAATTCTTTTGTTCTTGTTTTTAGCTCTTTTCTGACTTTTATTCGAAAAACTATTCATTTTCCATTTGTTCTCTTCGTTTCACGGTTTTCGCATAGTGATTTACTAAGCGTAGTTCAGATGTGGCCGAACTCACCACTCATTCAATTCCCTCTCTTCCCGTAATCGTCTTCTAGGTCCCGCTGGTCGAGTCCCGCTGGTCGAGTCCCGCTTTCTGTCGACGTGCAGCCGCTTAGTTCGGACCCAGCTTGTTCTGATATTTTTTTAAGCATTACGCCCCGAGCAAGGCGTGAAGCCACTAGGTTGCAGGGGGTTGCAGAAGATTTCGAGCAAGAGCAGATACGAGTGATAGAAGAAAGGATGAGGAGAGGGATAGTGGATAGATCAAGGTAACTGGAGATGTCGATTGACATTACATTTGAATAGTTGGAGATTATAGCTCTCAGGGAAACAGTCATAGAGAAGGGTGTTCCACAGGCGAGAGGTGCGAGGTATGAAGCTATTGGAGTAAAAGAGACGGTTACACTTAAAAGTTTCTACAGTGTAAGGGTGGGAGCGGGATGCCAGTGATATTTCAATCTTCGCACGGCTATGGGATAAACTGGTTTAAGGATTGGTACCAGTATAGATCGTCGATCGTCCCGTCTTGGTTCTTCAAGTGTTGTGATTCCTACTGACGCAGAATGTTGCCTTTCTTCTTTTATTCAATAAACTCTGGTAAGCTTCTTGTTGACGATTGGGCTGGCTGGAAATAAGACTAAACTTTCACCGAAGACACAATAATGCGGGTTTTGGTTAAATATGGACGATTTAATGAAACGGAATCAAAAACATAGGCTCTGACCTGTCCAATTCGAGGTCACACCTGGCTTCTCGAGAAATATTCCTGCCTGGGAAATTAATAAGGTCTAGAATAACATTCCAAATCGCCGCCTTGTAGTTTAAAATCTACGATATTCTACCTATAAAAAATTTCCTCAGTCGTATTTGTTCTCGCGAGACAAGCTTGCTAACCATTACACTACGTCTAGATACCCAAATGATTTACTAAGCGTAGCTTAGATGTGGCATAGGGTCGTAAGTATTGTGCACCCAGTGAGGATCAAACTCACTATCCAGGCGTAGCGAGGTAAGGTTGTTAACCATTACACCACATCGAGGTTCACATCGCGGTTTTCTAATGGATAATATTCATTATTTGATTTCAGATTTTTCTTTCTCCCTGACTTTTTGACAACCACAGTTAGAGATCCATGTCTTCCCTGCTATTTAGCCTAGAGCTGGAAGAGGAGAAGCAATGTATTTGTGCATTTCCTAAGGACACATGTGCGAAAGTGAATACAATGTTACCAATATCCCATCCCAATCCGGTAGCCATTACATTACCTGGAGATCGAAAACATTCTTATGATTAAAGCAATTTAACAGTTTTGAGAGCTTCTGCAAATAATTAATTTCGTAGACGGCATTTAGGTTTCCTAGTACAATAGTAGTGGTGACAGTATAATTAAATTTGTAGGCGGCATTTAGGTTTCCTAGTACAATAGTAGTGGTGACAGTATAATTAATTTTGTAGACGGCATTAATGTTTCCTAGTGTAATAGTAGTGGTGACAGTATAATGGAAAGTTTAAATTCGGACGGAATGCCTTTTACGATAATGGCTATTAGCAAGCTATCGCTAATAACTTCTCCGGAGCTTTTTAATAAAGTTGCAGCATTTTCACCTCTTATAATCAATAATACTTTCCGTACTTCCTTTGCGTAGTGACATTAATTCATTATATAAAGCAATTTGCTCCGGTTTGCATTTTGATAAATAGTACTCTCAAAATTTGCAGTGTTTTCTGCCATTACCATGGGCTTCTCTCATAATAAGAGACAAACTTCGATCAACGAGAAATTGGATTAATTCGGCAAATGCGTTTGAATTCTTTTCGCAGTACACTTTGTCATTGGGACGATCAAATGGTGCAAAGATTGTTTCGTGTAATTTTTGGATTCTCATGTATCCTGTGATGTTTCATATTTTGATTCGTCACCGTTGAAACAAAGACTATTCCTGGGCTCATAACCTGTAGAGTCATTGGCCATGGTTAAATGTAAATGGAAGAACTGCCCAAACAAACAGAATTGAGAAAGTTTGTAATAAACAATAACAAAGAAAAGGAAAGAAAAAGACGAATAATACTGAGCAAGCAAAGAATATATGCATTGGCAAAGCAACAGTAATAAGTCAAAAAATTCACAAACCAAGAACTGGTGTTGAAACGCAAGAGCGAATTCGAATAAAAGAAGGTAGCATTGTTGTTTCAAGAGACCGGGACTGAGTCAGATGAAACCGAGAATTGACGTATCTTATTGGATAGGAAGAAATCCCAGCATGCATTTGCACGTTTCGTCCATAAATTGGGGAGGGGGAGTATTTTACAGTCATTCCCAGTAGAAGTGGAATCGGCAGTTGTTGTTTTAATAATAATAATAATAATAATAATAATGAAGCAAATAATAATAATGATGAAGCTAACCACCCAGACATTGTTATTAGAGACCGCAAACAAAAAAGTGCCTCCTTATTGATATGGCGTTCCCTGAAGACTGCAATGTATATTTGAAGATCTTCAAAAAGTTATCAAAATACAAGGACCTTGAAATCGAAATCTCATAAATGAGGCACATGGGGCCATCAACAATCCCTGTTGTAGTTGGAGCCTTCGGTTTGGATGGAAAAAGATTCCAGTAGACTCATTGAAGGGATTCCTGGAAGCCCATGCTTTAATGAAACACAAAAATTGTTCTCACGAGCACAGCACCTTACGACGGGCTTTATATATATATATATATATATATATATATATATATATATATATATATGTGTGTGTGTGTGTGTGTGTGTGTGTATTTTGAAAATGGTCAGTGGAAAATGTAATGGTACCATTTGTAACCTTAGGCCTCTGGGCGGGACCCGGAAAGAAATGTGTACACCAGAAATCAAAGGAAATTAAATAATGATATTAATAATAATAATGACGACATTACTTACACAGCGAATGAAAATATTTAATTTCTATAAAGCTCGATTGCAAATGTTAGAACGTCTCTCGACAAGACGCCTGAGACCACACGTTAGAATGTGCAGTCCTTCTGTCATTTTTCTATCTAATGGGTATTATTTTTTTCTCAAAATACAGTTTATGAAATAAGATAAAAGAGATAAAAGATGTACAGGAATTTATTCGTACGGCTGCATTGTCAGAGAATGAAATTCAATTTTTCCAAGACTGAATGCAGCCTGAAGCATTTCATTCCATCCAATGCGTTTCATTTTTTTTTTTATCTTTTTCTGCTCTTTTTATCTCATTGTGCGTCTTTTTCCCCCTTTCTTATACTTAATCTCATTTGATATGCGCACAAAAACTTGGTTATTTACAAGAACGTATTCCGACACTTAACGTCTGATAGTTTATATACGGCGTAGTAATTAGGTAGCGACACAAATGTGCCTGGACTACAACACATTTAACATATGGCAGATTTAACGCTGCTAATTAAAAGGCTCTGTAAAGAAAGCCAGTTTCCGAAAACATTGCTTAAATAGCGAGCGAATGAACAAAACGCAAAAGAAAGGATAAAACGCGAATTTACACTGAACAGAGTTGAATATAAAGAACAAAAAAAAAGCCTGATGCAAATGAAAGGCGCCGTAAAATCCAATTACGGAGTTGTTTACTTCTTTCTATTTTAACTCAGATGTCCTTTTTTTATAAAATCTTCCGTGTTAATAGAATAATTATGAACTGGAAATACAATATAAACGGTCCATTGATTAAATGGTTGAAACATTTCCTACGTTTTATCAACCCTTTGCAGATTTTGTAAAGCCAGAAAATATTTTGATATTGTAAGAATTTTTTTTTATGTAGTGACACTAGTCTTACTAATTAACCCATAGCTTGTGGTACAAGAGTTCGATTCATTTCTTTCTCAAGGGTAATAGTGATTAAGTGAATATAACGAACCCAACAGAAATTGGAACTCAGCTCTCCGATTAACGATGAAAAAGCCATTATACATTAAAAGTTTTTTTTTTTTGCACATAGAAATTTGCATCATATGCTACTCCTAAATGGTCACCCGTTTCCAATTCCAGTTCTGACCAAGTTCGACGTAACTTAACGTCGCTGATCGTACGGGAACCTGTGTTTCAACGTAATGTGGACTTAGGAGAAGGAAAACGCTGATGTACCACCTGCTTTTTGAGAACATCAAGTGATACTTGTTTATTTTTCTTTTTGGGTAAATGCTGTTTTTGTTAAGAGGCTGAAATTGACCTACTACAACGTCTTCGTTTCTTTTAAAATTTAATGTCCCGCTATTGCTTGATAATGATTAATTGACTGATTCGAAATTTACGGTTTATCAACCCTTTGCAAGTTATTTAAGGACCGAAAATATTTTTCGATTGTAAGAATATTTTTGGAATCGAAAGGATTTAGACACAATTACAAGTCTTTTTAATCAGTCACTAAATTTTTATTTTTCAAAAAGAAGTGGGTTCATGCCTTTCCCTAGAGTATTTGCGAATGTGAATATAACGAAAACAACTGGAATTGGAACTCGGCTCTCCGTTGAAAAATTTTGTGGAATTATCCATTACATCACTCACACATCTAAGCTTACAGCACCTAGTATTCCAAAGGGATCACCCATGTAGATATTGAACAGGCTCGACGTAGCTTAACTTCTGTAGTCGTACGGAGACCGGTGTTTCAACGTGATATGACCACGAGACTATAACCGGTCCAATTTCAAATCTGATTAAAAAAACGAATAAAAACAGCATTAAGTTTAGTTGTAGTTTCTAAAAAATACTATGATAAAGTAAATAGATAGCAACTTCCTTTTAAAATATTGCCTACCACAACGCCAGCTAACACGGTACGTTCTATTTAGACTGGGAGACATATGCCGCTGGAATCTATTATTTTCCGAACAAACTGACCACACCTACATTCTAACACTGTCACATTGCTAGCATTTTGAAATGCTGTGGCTAAAAACAAACCCTAAAAAACTCACTGGTACAATAGCACCATTATACTATTTCTTCACTGCAGTATTTATAGAAAGTATAAAATTTCCGTATTTTCTATTTGAGAATCACTAACTGACATGATGAGTGCACGTTCTAATACCTGAAACTTATTACCTATTTTCTGTTAAGTTAACAATGTAACGTTGCAGGCACGTTGTGCTGTTTTTTTTGTAAGTGCCTGCAATCACTATCCAAGGTTGCAGAAAGGTTGCAGCAACGTCATTTTGTTAGCTGAATGGTTAGGAAACTTGTCTGAATAATATAATTGTTAGTGTAGTGGGTTCGATCCTCACTAGGATTTCATTACTGTGTTCCCATACGATCTCCACAACTTCTTGTTTATTGTGGATCTTGGCAATTTTTTTCTTTTTTGTCATCCCTCGGAGGCACGGTGGATAGCGTCCCGTATTGAGAAATTGGAGAGCCGAGTTTACATTCCAGACAGATCCATTGCATTCTGTTAATGCTAATATCCTTGGGAAAAGTAGGAATCATCATCTTCTTCTCCAGCTATTGGTAAATAACAGGGCAGAGTGAGTTCTATAGCCTTGGGTGGCAACCGGTCTAGGAGAAAGTAACTCTAAATTCAAAACTGTATGTAACCTTGGCATAGCACCTACCATACAGGATCGTTCGCAAATGATCGATAATCCCGATTATAGTCAACCAGGATGGATGGTGTCATTCATTACACAATCTTATTTTGCAGATCATCCGCTGTTTCTCTATCTCCAATTGCCTTCAATATGTCCTGAGAATGTCAAATTCTCTAAGCCCTCTATTCTCATTATGCATTCTAGAAATTTCATTTGTTGCTTTCTGATTCTAATTGTTAGTTTTGTTTCCATATTCATTAAAACTTCCTCTTCCTTTCATTTTCAGTTCATATTCTCATTTTCTGTAAAACTTTGTCGTTGTTCATATTTTCGGTTCATGCTATTCTCAGCATCCTTCTGTAGAACATTATCTGTAAAGAGATTGTCTAGTATTCACTGTCGTTCAGCACTCATTTCGTTGTTTCGAACGAAATTATCTTTTATTTTAATACTTTGCTAAATTTTTAAAGGCAACATTCGATATTCCAAAGCGCCTCCTGGTTTCGGTGTCACATTTTCCGTTCTAAGTTAAAACACGTTTTAATTTTCGTATTTGCGTATATTATTATGAGAAAAGCTAGCGTGTTGCTGTAGTTAGCAATCACGTTTCGTTAGCTAATTGTTCTGACGCCAGTACTTATCATAAATAAGAATAAAATTGTAAAGCATGTTTATACAACACTAAACAAAAAAGTATGCTACACAACGTTATATATATATATATATATATATATATATATATATATATATATATATATTGTTCAAGCCGTCTGAAGATCACGTGAGTGTAAAAACGAGTTACGACTAGGGCCATCTTTTTATATATTTAACGAAAAAAAAATTTAATTTTTCCATTTTTTGGTCTAGGCAATCTAGTCTTTAAGCAATTTTACTGAGTAGGAAGTTTGCTTTTAGGCCTTTTTGGTTTTTTTTTCAGTATTGTCGATTTTTATTCGAGACTATATATATATATATATATATATATATATATATATATATTGAACAATAAAAAATAAAAAAAAAAATTAAAATCTTCAGACACACTGGGTTGTAGATTAATATTCTTTCGTTTTTTTTTATTATCATTTCATTTAGATTCCTCGACTAGTTTTGGCCAAAATGGCCATCATCAGGAGAAGAAATATTTCTGCTTGCTGGTAGCAGTAAACTACAGAAATGAATGTCTTGCTGGAGAAAATGAACTTTTGTCTGTAGTTTTCATTTGTTTGTTTTATTTTTTTTATCTTTTTTAACATGAATCTTTTAACATTCCTTGTGTTGGTCAAACAGTCTCTTTTAAGTTGTTATTTGAGATAAGAGCTGGATGGATCCATGCTGCTCTGAATTCCCTTGGTCAGTTTGACAGTTTTATTGGTCCTGGAGAGGGATGTGTCTCTGTTAAGTGTTTGTGTGTGTGTTATTTGGTTTAGGGAGTGAGTGAGTATGATATGTGTAAGCGTGTGTGTATTGCTGTGGGTGTGTGTTATCATTTGGCTCATTAGGGGAGTGAGTGAGTATGATGTGTAAGTGTGTATATTCGTGTGTGTGTGTATAAGTGTGAGCCCTCCACACCTCCGTAAGCATGTCTGTCTTTGTGTGGGTGAGAAATGTGGGTAGGTTTTGATTTGTTGAGTTATATATTAGTACTATCTATATTGTTAAATTTATGGTTTAGCCCGGCTGGATATTATGTTTTTTTTAGACGTTGTATCCACTTATTTTCATGGAACTCTAAAATCTTTCTAATGTTATCTGCTCTGAACTTTTCTATTTTCTCAATTATAGTGAATTTGGCATGGGTTTTGAAATCGTGTTTTTCCAGGAGGAAATGTTGTTCTACAGGTAATAATTTGGGGAGTCGACTTAATTCGATTGCGATAATTATTAATTCTGTAGTGAAAGGGCCATTCAGATTTTCCTACATATTTTTCTGGCATAGTGTGCATTCTAGGAGGTAAATTATGTTATGACTTCTACAGTTAGAATCGTGGTAGATTTTGAAAGTAGATTTAGTGATTGACCTTGTGAATGATTTCGTGTGTTTAATATGGTTGTAGCATAAACTTCTTTTGTTGTTACATGGTTGGGAAAATCCTGTTATTTTTTTTTCTTAGTTTATTACGGATTACCTTGTCCTCTGAAATGTGGTTACTAACTATGATTTCTTTTACGTTCTTAGGTCTACGATATGCTAGAAGGCCGGGTTCCTTAAACAATTTTTTTAGGTCTGGTTTGAGATGTAGTATTTTCCAGCGACGTTTGATTATTTGGGATAGTGGAGGCAGAGTGGGGTTGAAAGTGGTTACTAGAGGAATGCGGCTAGATTTATTTTTAATCTTGTACATTAGGGTGTCTTCTCTAGGTGTGGAAATTGCTTTATTTATTTGTTCCCTGATTAGGTGTTGTTTATAGCCACATGTTGTGAATTGATGCTCCAGATTTTCAATGTGTTTATTTAATTCTTCATTGTTGGAACATATCCTTCTGAGTCTAAGTGCTTGTGAATAGGGAAGGTTCTCTTTCAGGTGTTTAGGGTGGGAAGACTTAAAGTGTAGATAGTTGTGGGTGTCGGTGATTTTAGTGTGTAGTATCGTTTGTAGTTTCCTGTTTTCATCTATGTAAATGCGGGTGTCTGAAAATGCTACTGATGTTGTGGATTTTTCATAGTCAAACTTAATTGAGTCGTGCACTGTGTTTAGGGTCACAAGGAATTTGGTAAGTTTGTCTTCACTGCCCGTGTATACAAAGAATATATCATCGATATATCTTGCATAGAATACGCAGTCGCTACCAATGATTGGATAGATATGGGTCTCCTCAAATTTTCCCATGAATATTGTAGCATATGATGGAGCTGCAATGGTGCCCATGGCAAAACCTCTTATTTGAAGGCAGTGTGCTCCATTGAAGTTGAAAGTATTCAATGTAAGGACATACTCCATGAGTTTTATGATGACTTCTGTGGTGGTGGTGGGGGGTCTTGTTTTCTTCTTTTAGTAAGTGCTTCCTGAAAGGCAGTTAGCCCTTCGATGTGTTTAATGTTTGAATAGAGTGATCTAACGTCTATAGTCACTAGAATTGCATTCTCTGGAACTGTTTGCATGTGATTAATTTTGTTCAGTAGATCTGTTGTGTCTCTGATGTAGGATTTTACTTCCTTAGCTAGCGGTTGTATGTAATGGTCTATGTATTTGGAAATTTTTGTCGTGTGGCAGTTGAACGATGAAATAACCGGCCTTCCTGGATTGTTGATTTGTGTATTTTAGGAAGGAGATAGAAACAAGCAGGTGTAATGTTTGTGGGTGTAAACGTTGTGCATGTTTCCTGGTCGATTAGATTGTTGCGAAGCATTATGTTTAGTGAGCTAGTTAATTCTTTTTGGTATTCGGGAATATATATATTTCGCGTGTATCCTACGACGGAAACCGTGGCGAAAAAGAAATTTACCTCCTGAAAAAAAGGGCACGTATTCTGCATGATATACTGACGACGGTAGATTCAAATTTGAAACAAATCTGTCGTAGGAGTCGCCATAAACGTATTTTGATATGCTAATATTGTACTCCCTCTCTCAGTTGTCGACGAATGAAAAAAAAATAAAATATATTTTGATAAAAGAGAATAGTGTATTGGTGTTTATGAATAATTTATTTAAAAAAAAGACAGAATTCGCGTATTTAGCGAATACGGGGAACAAAATTTTTTGACTGGTTATTGCAAATGATTTATTGATATACTATCTGCAAATTGAGATTTCGACATTTTTTTCTGTCCCTGTAGATTCTGAACTTATTTTTTTTTCAAAATTCGTTTTATTAATCTGCGAAAAAATATAGGGTGTCCATAATATTTGGTATGAACTTTTAAAAAATTGTAACTTTATTTGTATTTGCGATAGAAATAATTTGTAAAACGGAAAAGAAAGATTAAAATCTATATTTTTTATTCATTTTTATCGAAATTTTATTTCAGTTTACACATGTCTTCCATCATTTGCAATACATAAAAGTGTAATACGATTTTGCAGTTCATGGAAAACATTTGCCAACTGATTTATTAAGTAATTTTGGATTAGTTATTTAACTATACTTAAAACT